TTTGGCTCAGTGGATAGAACGTCGGCCTGCGAACTGAAAGGTCCTAGGTTCGATTCCAGTCAAGGGCATATACCTTGGTTGCAGGCACATCCCCAGTAGAAGGAGGCAACTGATCGATGTTTCTCTCATCTGATGCTTCTAACTCTCTATCCCTATCCCTTCCTCTCTGTAGAAAATCAATAAAATATATTTTTAAAGAAAATGATAGCAATTGTTTTAAAAAAACAAACGAAAAAAAACCCTTCAACTCCTTTTCACATGGGACCGACAGAACATCATGATCATGTAAATTATTTCTCATAGTGTGAGTGTTTCCCAAAACCCAAAGAGCAGCACAAAGTTTTACTCCCTTGACAGGAGAAATCCAGTATGTCAACTTAGGAAGAGATCTATAGACTCTGACAATCAGGTGAAGGAAGCCTGTCCCCCTTATGGAATTAAGAGCTCAGGTTGTATTCCTGACTATAAGGAACAGCCCAAGTCTACTTGAAGAACCTGCTAGCAGAGCCACCGCTGCTAAGTGCATTCACCTTAACTCACTTTAATCTGGTTAGAGAAGTTTGTTGCAGCCTAAACTTTTATTCTACTGAGGTCTCTCAAATGCCTCTCTGTTCTCCCTTATCCCTAGATGACCGACCACAACACTACAGGTAAGCCTGTCACCAGAGCTGTAGGCGGAGAAGCACCTGTCACCTGTGTGGTTGTCCAATAAAACTAAAGGAGACACATCATAAGTGAACACACTAAGACAAATGGCTTTTCAGGCTGAAGGCTTAAAGGCCTTATGCAACAACCATGAATGACTGCACTTCTAAGGGGCCTTTTGCAGAATGGATTCTTCTTGCAATCAACTGACAGGAAAATTTTCATTCCAAGAGGCAGGCAGGTGTTTGCAACAAAGAGATTTAAAAAATAAAATAAAATAAAATAATTGCCGAAACCGGTTTGGCTCAGTGGTAGAGCGTCGGTCTGTGGACTGAAAGGTCCCAGGTTCGATTCTGGTCAGGGCACATCCCTGGTAGGGGGTGTGCAAGAGGCAGCTGGTCGATGTTTCTCTCTCATCGACGTTTCTAGCTCTCTCTCTCTCTTCCTTCCTCTCTGTAAAAAATCAATAATATATATATAATAAAATAATCAATAGCAAATACTCATACACATACACCCGCTCCCAAGTAGAAAGTCAAGGCAGATGCCAATATGAGACCTAACTCTTTGCCAGAAAACCCACTGTCCTATTCTTCCTGGAATCAAGGTCTTACCCCAAGAAGAGGCCTTTTGGTTAGTGATATAGGCAAGACTGGGTGGGGGCCACCCTACTAATTTCGTATATTGAAAGTTAAGCGTGGAGACCTGGCCAGGTGGCTCAGTTGATTGGAGCGTCCCAGACAACAAAAGATTAAAGGCCGCAGGTTCTGTTCCTGGTCAGGGTACATATGGGAGGCAACCAATTAATGTTTCTCTCTCACGTCAATGTCGTCTGTCTGTCTGTCTGTCTCTCTCTCTCTCTCTCAAAATAAAAACATGTCCTTGAGTGAGGATAAAAAAGTAAGTTAAAAAAAAATTAAGCATGGAAAGATGATACCAAAATATATAAAAAGCAAACTTTTTCAAAGACCTGTCCCAGACACTGCAACCCCTTTATAAAGAGAGACCAGGGCATGAGGTCAGACAGAGAAATGGAGGTCTTGATCCTCATAGAAAACAGCCTGACACTGTCCATGATTCATGAAGCCGCCTCTCTTTAGGGTCCTGATTGCAGCTTCGACAAACCAGCTGCTAGGCTGCTTTAAAAGTAACCGCAGCTTTTTTGCTGTTAAAAAAATCAACTTTCCTAAAAGCCAGAGCTGCTTGCATCTTTTCAGTGGACAGAGAAAAACCATGTGGCAAGGGCAGAAAAGAACTTCAGGACAGTGATTACCGCCGGGGCGGCAGAAGGAAGGAAAGGGCTGGAGAGGAGGGAGGTTAAATGAATCTGCCTAAAAAAATAGAGGCCTGAAGTAAATATGTTTAAACGTCAAGATTTGTTCAATCTGCCGAAACCGATTTGGCTCAGTGGATAGAGCGTCAGCCTGTGGACTGAAAGGTCCAGGGTTTGATTCCGGTCAAGTGCATGTACCTTGGTTGCAGGCACATTCCCAGTATGGGGTGTGCAGGAGGCAGCTGATCGCTGATTCTCTCTTATCAATGTTTCTAGCTCTCTATCCCTCTCCCTTCCTCTCTGTTAAAAAATAATAAAAAATATATTATTAAAAAAAAAAAAGATTTGTTCAATCTGGGTGATGGGAACCTGGAAATTTATTACACAGGCATTTATTTTTAAATGTTTCCGCACGTCTTAAGTACTTTATGATACAAAAAAAAAAAAAAAAAATTTTGAAGTAATGGGTGTTAAAGTCCAATCACCCTGCTTTGATTAAGTGTAATTGCCAAGCAACACAATAAATACACACAAGCCTCCTGGGAATACTCAAAGGCAAGATAACACACACTAAAGTTAGAACCCACTTTGTAGTTTTCTATTTTATCACCCAATAGCCTTTTGATATCAATCTTGTTAACAAAAAGCACATCCGTGTGCATTTATCTTTTGCCAAATAAAACGCATGCCCGTATTTGAAGTTTTATTGAAGGCTATGTAGTAGTATGTGAATGTGCACTTGCTAATATAAATGAAAATTAAACAGCAGGAGGCATGGTAAATACAGCAGCCTGAGTTTTAGCGCTCAAGTTCAGTTGGATCAAAGAGTAAGTGTCACGTTATGCTTGGGGTCCAGAGAAAAACTGCAGGATTTAGGCCTGTGCTAACAAACACAGATGCTGCCACAGAGAGAACTGAAAAAATCCACAGGATTATTCTTGAGGATTCTCTAACAAATGATCCATACCAATGATGGGATGACAGCCATTTAATGCCAACCAAGCATCATTGGGCCTTGTCCCCAGTTTTCCCCCAAGTATTTGCTTTGGTACATCTATACTAATAAAAGGGTAATATGCTAATTAGACCGGACGTCTTCCAGCCAACCATCCAGACGTCCTTCCTGACAAAGCTGGGATAGGAGAAGCCTCCTGCCCCACAGTCCCGGGCATCAGTGCCTGCGGCTGCAGCCTGGAGAGGGAGAAAGGCTGCCCGCCCTGCAGTCCTGGGCACCTGTGGCTGCGCCTCAGATAAAGCCGCCCACCCACTGTCTCTTGTGGCTGTGCCAGCCCAGGTTCCAGGTGCCTGCGGCCGGCCAGAGGAGGGAATCCTGGGTCCCAGGTGTAGAGCCAAGGCAGAGGTGGTTAGGGGCGATCAGGCCAGCAGGGAAGCAGTTAGGGAGATCATGCAGGCAGAGGTGGTTAGGAGCAATCAGGCAGGCAGGCAGGCGAGGTGTTAGAAGCCAGCGGTTCTGGATTGCGAGAGGCAGTGGGACATCCCCTGAGGGGTCCCAAATTGGAGAGGGTGCAGGCAGGGCTAAGGGACCCCCTGCCCCGTGCACAAATTTTGTGCACCAGGCCTCTAGTATATATATCATGAGACCATTGGATTGGCATATGTGAGTAGGTGTTACCACTTCACCACAGGTAAACATCACAGAAGTTACAAACAATTAGTTTAGAAACCAAGTCAGGCCCATAGATATTTTATTGGGCCCACACATTGTTTTTAAAACTTGAATTAGAATAATGCTCATAAAAGTCTGGATTTCTATTTCCCCTTTTCTAAGTATCAGAAGATTTGGCAGCACTGGGTAGGGTTGAGCTAAGCGCGAGCTGCTCCATTTGTATTATAGAAGGCCTGTTTAAGACAGTCCCCACACTCCCCATCCCCACACAACTGCATCCCTTGCTCACACTACTTGTCCTGGTCCTGCAGGCATTTTAATGTGACTTGATACTCAGGGTGCCACTCCATGGAGGCAGTGGAACTGGGTGGATTCTTCTTAGAACCAAATTCAGGGGTGGGAGAGGGACAAGGAGGAAGGGCTTGGTTTCTAGAACTCTGAATTCTAAGACAGACTAGAAGAGGGGAGGAAGAGCCTGAAGCAGAAGATATCCCCACCATCAACATACACTCATCTCCACAGTCTTGTTTCTGAGCACCAACGAACATACACAGCTCCTTTTCTTATGTTGCTAGGTTCCCTGAATAGATGAGATCCCTGACTCTGAATGACACTCAAGTCAGCTTAAAACGCACCACTGCCCTCATACCGCCTGAGGACTCACAGAGGTGTGCTGGCTTGTTTCTTGATGCAATGCAGGCCTCCAACACCCAAGCCAACCGTGGGAATTCCTTTCCACTCAGTAATGCATCGGAAGCCCACAGAGGCTGTGCCCATAGCAGGTAAAGGAAGCATGACACTGTGACATGTGTTAAGCCAGGAGGAATAGAAGTTATGGCTGGAAACAAAAGATGTCTGATGCCAAGAGGAGAAATCACTCATCAGGACAAAAGTCAGCATGGAGACACTCCCACAGAGAGATGGAACAGAACGCCATTCATTAATCAACTTAAAAAAACAAACAAAAAACAAATGTGTCTACATCCAACGAGATTTCCAGGGAAGCTCTCTAATAAGCTCCCAATTGTGCACAGGTACACACACACACACACACACACACACACACAGATGTGTATATATAGCCATAATTATAATCAAGTTCAAGAGAGATTAACTTACCATTACATATACACTATATTAAAAAAAAAAAAAAGAAGAAATAAAGAAAGAAAAAGAAAAAAGGAGAAGAGATCCTGAATAGGAAGAGTTTCCAGAGTTCATAGTATATCAGTCCTGAGGCACTTTATCAAAGGCCAATTTTCCTAATCAGCAGGGTCAAAGTTCATAGTCTCACATGTGCCTGAGAGGTTCGAGAAACACTGCACAGTCGAAGAAGAGTCTCACTCCTTAGAGGTACAGGACTACTAGCAGAAAAAATGTAAAACTACATTTCCACCAAATGTACACAACTCAGCGTTTCCTCCTCTGCAGACAGAAGAGAAGGCAAACACTCACCGCAGAGAGCTGGCTCCACGTGGACCGGAGTGGCTTGTGCTGGACCACAATTTTTTCTTCCGACTTCTGCTCTTTGGGCTCAGACTCTTCATCAGAGTCAATGTCAAGGGCCTTTTCTTTGTAGTTCTGGTACAGGACAGCGTTTTCTGCAAGAAAAGCCAACCCAGCGTGTCATCATGATGCTACCTGTTCTGAGCAAACATCCACATCTATACCAGGCTGAGTCTCCAGTTTAATAAACGACGAAGGGAGAAATGGATTTTGTCACTAAAGAGTATTCCAATTGCTAAAAGGTGATTTTATCACCCACACAGCCTTGTCCCAAATCCATCCATAGGGAAAAGGGAGGGGCCCCTACATGAACTGCCAATTAATGCAAAATCCCCATGTCACTGCACTACCCATGAAGGATAGTCATATCTGCTAAACGGATTTTTGGGTTAAATTGAATCCACACCCTACCTTCCCTTCAAGGTCCATCAACATCCATTTATCTATGTAACAAACATTTACTGTACACCCACAATGTGCCAAGGACTGGGAGCAAATAGAAAGTTAAAGACACTTCTTGTGCCCTCGTGAGCTAAAAATTTAAGGAGAAAAACAGTTCAAGTCGCTCATTCATTTATTGGTTTAACTGATATTTAGAAAATGCCTACTAGATACCAAGAATTGCTAGACACTGAGGATGCAACAGTGAGCAAAAAATATGAAAGTATCAGTCTTCATGGAGCTGACATCAGAGTGAAGGGAGAGTGACAATAAATAAATAATGTAAAAATATGTCAGATGCTGCCCTGGACAGTGTGGCTCAGTGGGTTGAAGAGCCACCAGTATACTGAAAGATTGCGGGTTCAATTCCCAGTGAAGGCACATCCTTAGGTTGTGGGTTTGATCCTTAGTCGAGGCATGTATAGAAGGCAACCAATTGAAGTTCTCTCTCTCATTGATGTTTCTCTCTCTCTCTCTCTCTCTCTCTCTCTCTCTCTCTCTCAAACCAATGAGCATATCAGCAGATGAGGATTTAAAAAAAATGTGTCAGATGCAGATAATGGTCATGGCAAAAAATAAAACAAGGAAAGATAGGGAATGTTATGAGGGAGGTATACAGATTTTAAATAGGGTAATTTAAGAAGGCCTCCTCCAAGGTGACATTTAAGCAAAGACTAAAGGTGAGAAAGCAAGCCACCATTCTACGGGGGAAAGAACATTTTATCAGCGGGAACAGCAAGTACCAAGGCCCTGGGGCAGGACTCCGTATGTACAAATCAGCAAGGAGGCCTGCGTGGCTGGAATAGGATGAGGGAGGAAGAACGTACAGAAGATAGGAGATTGGGGATGAATAAAGGGCAGGCCATAGAGGGCCTGGCTTCAATGCCATTAAGAGAACTTGAGTGTTTTCTGAAAGTGGAAGGCAAGTCACTGTAGGATTGAGGACACAATGAATTTGTACAAATACAGACCAACACAGGGAGAAATTTATATACAGGTAACTCTGAGAAAAGACTGTCAAGCTGCGTGTGATCTAGTCTGACGGGGAAAGGTGTCCCCGTGAGGAAAATCTAAGACCAGAAAGCTGAGAGGCCACAGAGCTAAAGGAAAAATTATATGAAAAGTCCTGAGGCAAGTGAAATACAGTTCCTTATAGGAACTAAGGCAGGTCGATGTGCCTTAGTGGATGTCTAGAGAACAAAGGGCACAAGCTGTGTGTAGGGAGAGGAACCAGACAGTCCAAATCAAGCAGAGCTTTGCAAGCTATTTTATTTATTTTATTTTTTTCCTTTCATCTAATTTTTTTTAATTTAGTAAATCTTTATTGTTCAGATTATTACAGTTGTTCCTCTTTTTTCCCCCCATAGCTCCCCTCCACCTGGTTCCCATCCCACCCTTTTCCCTTACCACCCCATTGTCCTCATCCATAGGTGTACAATTTTTGTCCAGTCTCTTCCCGCACCTCCCCACCCCTTTTCCCCATAGAGTTGTTAGTTCACTCCCTTTCTAAAGAACTGAATTTTATCCTAAGGACAAAAGGAATGAGCTTCTTTCACACTGTACGGATTGTATTATGCTAAGCCTAAATGATGCACCCATTACAATGCTTTTGAAAAACTAGACCTGGCCGGGTGGCACAGTTGGTTGGAGCATCATCCCATACACCAAAAGGCTGTGGATTCAATTCCCAGTAGGGGCACATATCTATGTTTTAGGTTCAATCCCCGGTTGGGATGCCCCCCCCCCCCAAAAAAAAAAAAAAAAAGATTGTATTTTGATCCTGATTGCCATGGGAACCCACTGAAAGGGAACATTTTATTAGATCTTTAGGGGCAAAACACTAACTATGTAGGGACTCATGAGGATGCTACTGAAGTAGTTGATGAAAAACAATGGAGCTTGGCCTATGCAACTGAGAAAGAACTAGAAGTGGACTGACACATGGGCTTGGAGAGAGGGAGGTGATCAGGTGTGTCCTACGTCTGCAAGTCCCACAACAAGAAGGTAGGAGAGGGAAACACCAGGAGAGATTTAGCGGCAGTAGGGAAGGTTAGGAGTTTCGTTTGGGACACAGAGTTTGAAAATCCTTTTCATCTACTGAAGCAAGGAAAACATCTGCCTCTTTATTGGACATCAACTAGTCCATGTCCTACGTGACTATAATAAAGGAATACTAGATCTATGGAAGATTGCACTGGTCTCTGATTGCTCTGCATGTGCAAAACAAATTGTGAAGGTAATGACTAAGTTTCCCCCACCTCCAGTGCCATTTCAAGTAGTTAGTGGTTGGCACAAAACATACGCAAGCATCGCTCAAGTGATTTCTCATTCCCTCCCACCACAACGTTGGTAGCGGAAATGCTAACGTCATTGTACACCTGGTGAAATCAAGCCTTGGCTAGGTGAAGGTGCCTGCTCAATTATACCTCAAATGAGGAGGAAAGCAGTAGGAGAGGAACCCCAGGCCCCTGGGTCCAACGTCACAGGTTCTCACCGCTATCACACGGCTTCCCAGGTTTTATTCCTGTTAATCATTAACTGTAAGAATACTGCATTCCTCAAGTACATATAAGTGAAAAAGAATGTCTAGGTCATCCTACTTGGAAAGAGGTGAAAGCATGCACAGAAACAGTTCCTTATAAACAGAAACCATGTAAAACTAGTTATAACAAAGGGTGTGATCTATTCCGGGGGTGATCTGTCCTTGTACAAAAAAAAAAAAAAGAGCTCAACGTTTTAATCCTTTGAGGCAAAGGCCCCAGAATCAATGCCAAATTCCAAAAGATGAAAAACATCTAAGTCGATATTAGGTAGATGCTCTGATCACTTCATGTTCAAAACGTGGTACCAGAGGAAGCACACTGGACCCAGAACCAGGCCTCTGTTCCAGGGCTGGCTGTGTGACAGTGGCGAGCCCTCCACTGTAAAACCAGGGAGATGAATTCATCGTCAACAGGTACAACACTGCATCTGGGTTTCTTCTTCTTCATATAGAATGCTTCCTGATATTGGTGCAATGAATAAATTTTCATAAACCGGTCATGTTTAAATACTCTAGTGGGAATAATTTTTATATAGGGAAACAACTGATAATCACCAAGGTTCTATGTTTTATAACTCTGGGTGGTTCTACATTAGATTTACTTAGCAGCATATCCTTCTTCATTATTCTTTATCTAGAGGCCCGGTGCATGAAATTCATGCACGGGAAGGGGGTTCCCTCAGCTCGACCTGCTTTCCGATCTGGGACCCCTCAGGACCTCTGGCTCCTAATCTCTCACCTGCCTGCCGGCCTGATCCCCCTAACTGCTCTCCCCTGCCTGCCTGATCGCCTCTAATCTCCTCTGCCTTGGCTCCGCTAACATGGCTTTGTCCGGAAGGACATCCAAAAATTTGTCTGGAAGATGTTCAGTCTAATTAACAATATTACTCTTTTATTAGTATAGAAGATTGGAAAATCTAAGCATTGCAAAGCATGAAAGAAGGGAACTAACCTCACCTCTATCACCCTCCACCAGCCCTACAAGGGGTGCAGCTGGGGCTGCTGCTCCTTTCATGCTTTTCCAGTTGGCTGACATTTGACCCATCTATTTACACAAAGCCCACTAATCTGATTAGGGTTTGAACACCTGGCCGAAGCTGCTTTTGTTTTTGAAACTCTTAATGAAAATAGTATATGGGTTACAAATGCTTAGGGATATGTTTCCTTCGGCCAGGAGTTAGATTTTCCCCAAACAGACACTTGATAAGGAAACGGGAAGTCAGAAATAAGACTAAAATGGGGAAAGAATATTCAGTCAAAGGAAATATGACCTAGGGGGAAAAATGACTTAAGATCTAAATGCCAAACTCTCAGAATTTTTGACTAAAGAGCTAGAGCTTGCTCTTACTCTTTCTCCATTTTTTTTTTTAAGGAAGGTGGGGGATAGAACCAGAGTGGAAAAGAATTCAATATCCCAGGACATGGGCTGACAAAGTTATCAGCTTACAAAGAAAGCTATTGATTTTATTCACTGCTGGTATTACCAGATAAAAACTTAGCTGAGTGAAGAAGTGTTTTGTGCTGTATAATTTTGAGAAGCTGCACATTTTCCTCATCCTAAGTGTTTTTGTTACTGCAGCTGGATTGGAACGTATAATTGATATTCCACATTGAAACAGCAATAAAAGTCTGGAAAAATCAAATGCTTACCTTCCCCATCAAATGGTCCTTGTCCTTTCAGCACTTTTTTCTAAGAAACAAGAAAAGCAAAAAAATGGAAAAGGCAAAGCATAATGTAGACGAATTGAAAACACAGCTATTTAAGAAAAAGTACTTATTTTGTTGTTACATTCATTAGATTTCCCAAAGCATACAGCTGATGATCCCCGGAGTGGTTCGCTCATAGGACTAACGACAATTCACTAAAACAGTGAAATAAAATGTACAGTGTCCCTCACAGCCTGTGGAAATAGTTTGAGAATCCTCAAATGACCAGCAGGCTCAGCTATTTATGACTCACCATCACTGTTAAATTGAACTTTGCTATATTTGCAGGGTTGGGATGGGGGGGAGGGAGGGAAAAACAAACATAAAACGTTATGTAATTTCTCGAAGGCCGTAAGATCGAAAATAAAGCATGTTTGCTTGTGTGTTACCTATGTGACAATCCAACAGAGAGTGGTTCCAGTCCTCTGATTAATCAAGAGATGTCATCCCAACATGAGTGTCTGCCCTATTGCCCAGGTCCACCTTATTTCTGAAGAAGACAGCACATGCACACTCCAAATTCCCTTTCTCTGGTTTTCCCTATTTCTTTCTGTCATATTTGATATTTGGCTTGCTTTTATTTATTTATTTATTTATTTTTTTTTTTTTTTACCAATTTCAGCTTTCAGGCCTTTATCAGGGAGCAATAACACATACATAGTTCACGGGAACCTGAAGTTTTGCTAAGTGAACTCAAGGATAAAATGGGCACAAAACAGGAATGAAATACAACCAAAGGCCCAGCTGACAGAAACCAGGAACAACAAAGATGACATACTCTCTGTGCCTTTTATGCCTTGCTTTTCTGGCACCTAACTTTAACACTGCATTTTATCTGAGGTCTTTGGTATATGATGGCCATTCAAATAAATAAATAAATAAATACTTAATGTAAAGTAACCAATGGGTTCAAAGGAAATCAGCTTTCTCCCTAATCAGCTGAGATGAATCAGCAACCACTGACTGACACCTCTAAACAAGCACCAGATAGCTTGGCCAAAGTCAAGAGTGGAAATCCCGCCCTGCTCTCCACCCCTTTACCTGTGTTAAAAGTGCTCAGGACTCATGCAGCCAATCAATACCTCATTTTCTGTATCCCTCGATTTGTCCCACGTTTTGCCTAAGCTTAGAAAAGTCAACCCAGGGATCCGAGTTTCTCTTCCTCCCACAAAGCTGCGTGAACTAAGTGCTGTGCCTGCCAACAATACAGCGGCCAAGAGATACACGTGCACCGGTTTCCATCAACAAACAACAGAATTAAAGGGAATGATAACGTCTGATTTCCCCCGGCGTCCCTCCTTCCCTATCTATCATCCCCAACACCTTCCCTTGGGACTTTAGCGGCGTGGCCCACTCTTACCTTGATCCTTCCAAGGCTGGAAAACTTCTCCTTGTCTTCCATCACCACTTTCAGGATCGGCTGGGACATCCTGTTCTTCTTCTTGGAGGCGGTCGGGCTGTCAAAATCCACGCCGCTGACCACGGCCCTGCGGTAGGACGTGGAGCGCAAGCCCCTGCGCAGAGAGCCGGGGCTGTCCAGGTCGTGGTCGGCCTCGCCCTCGTCCTCGGAGGGGCCCCCCAGGGACGCCCCGAGGCCCTCCACCATGCTGCGCACCTTGAGCAGTCTCTTGTGGGGCTCCGCATGCTGACCGCTGCTTTTGCTCAGTTTAATTTCCGAGGCCAGGCTCTTGGGGATTATCTGCTGCTTCCCCACCTTGAGGGCGGCGGGGCTGTGGGTGCTCAGAACCACCGAAGGGGCCTCCGCCTCCGGGAGCTCGTTGTCCTGGGAAGGCAGCCTTTGGAGGGGCAGTTTTTGTTCCAAAGACCTGTTCTGGGGAGAGGGTCTCCGCTCAGGGTCCTTCGCCGTCTGGCTGGATTGCAAACGGGAGTCGATGTTTCCAGCAAGCCCGTTTGCAGCAACGGGAGGAGGCAGGGGGCTGGCGGGCAATCCGACCACCGGGGCTCCCTCGGGGCTGCACGGGGCCGATGCGTTAGGGGAAGGCGGGGGGCGCAGGCGCTGCGGCGGCGGCGCGGGCGAAATCGCTGTCCCGTTCTCAGGGGGGGATTTCGGGGAGCCGCCCAGCGCCCCCCTGGGGGTCTGCGGAGACTTCAGGCGCCAGAGCCGAGGAGATGCAACCCGGTACTCCGGGGACACCGGCCTCCCGTTGGCCACCGCCCTCCGATGGGTGCCCAGGAGCAGGGGACTCCTCGGGACCGTCGTCCTGCCGTCCGAAGCGGTGGGCGCCTGGGAGGGAGTCTGCTGCGCCTCCAACGGGAACGGTCCTCGGTCCTCCACCGGGAAATCCGTGATCAGCAAGCCGCTCGGGCTCTGGTAAGACTGGGGTCTGGGCTTGCTCCGGCTCGGCATCTGCGGCTGGGGGGTCGATCTCCTACGCCACGAAGGGGTTAAGCTGCTGCTGGAGACATTCACGCCGCTCTGGCCGTCCATCGCGCCGAAGCCGGCCCGCGGGTGAGCCCCGCGAGGCGCAGCACCCAGCTAGCGAAGCCTAAAGACGGGAAGAAGTTCATGGAACCTTGACTCCGGACAACCCCAGACGCGCGCTCCGAGGCCCGCGGGCACCCCGCCGCGGCGCGTCACTCACCCGCCCTCTCCAGGGCAGCGCCGCGCGCTCCGCGCTGCACGATCCGGGGCGAAATCCGGGACGAAATCGGGGCTGCGCCCCCGCGGACTCATCCAATCACCACCTCGTCTCTCTCCTGAACCCAAAAGACCACCCGCGCGGAAGGAGGTCGCCCCCAATGCGCCGGGCGCCAGCTGATGCGCAGGAAACTTGGGAGAAGTTCAGCTTCCTTGGGAAACTCGCCTCCGCACGCTCCGCGCCGCCGCCGCCGCCGCCGCCATCCAGCCACCCGCCCCAGTTGCTGGTGGCCTCGGGTGCTCTTCCAGCTGCCCGGCTCCTGGGTGGGTGATTTCCCTTCAGGGCTTTTTGCAGAGCTGGGGCCGAGCAGGGCCCACCGCCCCGTGGGTGGCCCCGGGACCGGACCGTGGCGCCGCGGCGGGAGCTCTGCGAAGCTCGGCCGCCAAGAGACTCCGGCCCCGCCCCCGGCCTCGGCCTCGGCCCCGCCCCCGTCTTGGCCCCGCCCCCGCCCAGGCCCGCCCCCTTCGCGGCCAGCAATCGGACCCTGTCTTCCCCTGCCCCACGCGCGAGCCTTTGATCACGCCGGTTCTCTGTTTTAAAACCGATCGCACACCTGGGCTGGGTGCCCAGTGAAGGGGTTGCGGGCTGGCAGCTGGGGCTGCAGGCGGCGGGGCGGCGGGGCGGCCGGGGGCGCGAGGGCAGGGTGGTGGGCCGGCGCGTAGCGTGGGAAAGCGAGGGGGATTCCTGCTGAGATGCACTGTACGAAGCCCCGGGTCCCAGCGGATCTCGGGTGCAGAAGCTGGGAATGCCAGGCAGAGGAGGGTTTGCGAAATGAATGGGTGGGCTGCAGGGCGCAGCTCCTCCGAACGCAGAGAGCCGGTCCATGCTCAGCGTTCCGGGTGGTCTTAAAGCAAATCCGCTGGCCTCGCTCTCCTGCTGAAAGCATCTTGTAAGGGAGACTCATAGATTCGCTTGTTTGTTTGTGCCTAGTGTATTTCTGGGGGCATCCACGCAGGCAGCTTGGGAGAGAAACTGTGTGGCTAACTAAACTAGGGAGGGAGAGTTTTTCATTCAAACATCTTTGAATCTGGTGTGTTTTGAATCGTGGATGTTATCTATTAAGGATAAACGCAATTTAAATTACAGGGAGCGGGGGTGGGGGGAGGATTGGTTTCCAAACATACATGGAATAAAAGTGAAAATCCTCTCTCTGGCTTAGGAAGACCCTGCATCCTGTGCCTTCCTCTTTCCCCATCACTTTTTCCTTCACGAATCTTAGTCCACACCCACTTAAAGTTTTACAGCCCCAGAGAACCTTCCCTTTTGTTCCTTCTGTCTTGTCACTCCATCAGAGGCTTTCCTTTTTATACACTTATCACACACATATATATGCACACACACATTTTTGTGGTTTTGTTTATCTGTTTTGTCTTTAGATTGTATGATGCTGCTAGAGGGCAGGGGTCATGTTCATGAATTGCTCTTCTGTATTCCAGGCACATAGCAGGCACTTAATACGTATTTGTTGAATGAATGAGAAGTGAAGCGAGGACAGTGACCATCCCTTCCAGGGTGCTCCATGGCCAAATAGTAGAAAGTTGGCTGTGTCCTGGCCAGCCTCCTGTGATCTGGGAAAAATAGAGCAAACTTGAGAAGACAAATGATTTATACACCATAAGAACTGTATAATTAATTCTATTAGCAAGACAAATGGGCTTTTCTCCAAGTTCTCTTTCAGCATTCATGCATTCAGCAGGGATGTAGTGAGCATCCACTATGTGCACATTAGGCTGCTTGTTTTTGCCCTAGATACGTTGAATGTAAGGGCCAAAAATATTAAGAGGAAATCTCTGGGTAATGAGAGCAGGATGTTTTTCTTGCTTCTTTATTTTTTGTTTGTTTGTTTGTTTACTTATCAAATGCTGTACATTGATTATATATTACTTTGATCTGAGATTGTTTTGTAAACTAGAAGAAATGGCATCAGAAATTTTATAAGAAAAAAAAAATTTAGTAAGAAATTTACCAAATGTTGTTTGGAAGAAATATGGTTGAACACACTAATGCATGTCCACTTTTTAATATAGAATATTTCCCATACATTTTATTTTATTTTATTAATCAAATGTATTTTTATTGATTTCAGAGAGGGAGAGAGATATAGAAATATCAATGATGAGAGAATATTGATTGGCTGCCTCCTGCACATCCACCCCACAGTGGAGATCAAGCCCACAACCCAGGGATGTGCCCTGACTGGGAATGGAACTGTGACCTCCTTGTTCATAGGTTTATGCTCAAGCACAGCCATGCTAGCTGGGCAAAAGAGCGATTTTAGACTTAGCCATAGATTTTCCAATAGTTGCGTATATAGAAAAGAAAAATATAAGCAACATAAGTGAAAGTATTTATAAAAATTCTGTACACTGAGTCTAATTCCTCTGAATCCCTTTCTACCCAGGGCATCAGTCTGTGTGTTTTTCAGCACACTATCACTAACAGTGCACCATTTCTTAAAAGGGTGTTCTAGTCTTGTCTCTGGGATTTGCTTCCCAGCCACTGACACTTTTTCTGCAAATTTGAGGCTGGCGCTACGTTATTTGACGAAAAGCATAGTTTTCTTGTTCAACTGAATCATGTCACCACAAGCTATGCACATTCTCTATTAATGGCCAGAAGGAAGTTTCAACCCTTTCTCCATAGTCCTGTATGATACATGAATTGGTTATATCAGCCTCTTGTTGCTTTGGAATTTCTTGAATCTAATATGACACATCTGGCAATTTCTGCTGCCTTGATTGCATTTCTCAGAATATATGGATCTTACACAGATAGCACTAAATTGCTTTGAACTCATTGGCATGATGGCACTTCAAGTAGCAATGACCATGTTCACAAATACTGAGGCAATGCCAACTACATCATGACTGCCACCTGGCCAATGGCTATTTTCTTAATGAGACATACCCCAGTTTCAGAGAGTGTCTAATTGTGGGATCAAAGTCTTATTTTAGAACTGAAGAAATATTACATACAAAACTGTTAGGAATTATATATTCCACTGGTATATTCCCATGCTATATATTTTTTATTTTATCTTTAAAATTTTTTTAAATTTTAATTTTCTTTATGAGAACTTTCTTTAATGAACTTTTATGATTTGATCTCTTATCAACTTTCAAATATACCCTGCAGTATTGTTAACTATAATTACCATGCTGTATATTACATTCCCAGAAGTTACTTACCTTACAATTTTTGGTCTTTACCTTTTGATCATCTTTACGCATTGCCCCATGATATATTGAATCATTAAAATATTAAATGGTATAATGCAGGATACCAGAGGCTGAGATACCAATTTTTGCAACATTTACCAAGCAAATTTGCATTGATCACTAATTTTGTGTCTGGCATAATAATTAGGCTAATCTGTAAGTGCAATTTAGCTCATATTATTACCTTGCAGTTATAGCTCATGCATTCTTTATTCACATATTTATTTTTTCCACAAATACTTATTAGATGCATGTAAGTGTTGAGCACTGGGCTAGGCCTTCCCAAAGCTCATAACCTGGCTGATTAGCTTCATTTAAAACATTATAATAATAACAAGACACCCAGGTTGAGTAAGGGACATAGTAAGATGAAAGCCTTTGCAAAGGAGTGTGGGTAGGACTGGGCTGGAAGAGTAGGTAAAGTATCGTGAGGTAGAAAAGAAGAGAAGGTATCCCAGAGAGATTTCCCAACGTGAGCAAAAATTGGGGGGGGGCATGGCTGGAGATATTTAAGTGCCAATTATATGTCAATCATTATTATTCATTACACATAATTTAATTTCACATTAACTTATGTCTCAATTTAAATTTGAAGGAGCAGAAGCTCAGAAAGCTCTTCTGTTGGTCAGTGGTTGAGTCAGAATCTCGGATCTGTTGACCCCTGAACCCAAGCGCTTCACAAACGAGAAACCAAACTTTCAAGAACAGAGAGCTTGCATTTGGAAGTTGTGGGAGGCCAATATAGCTATGGTGAGAGTGGAATATGGTGTATGATAGACTGAGGGATCTGGATTTCACCTGGATGGCAACTGACACTCCCTCTCTGAAGTTATTTAAGCTTTATTATCCTTTAAAATAATGAATCTGATGACACCAGTGTCAGAAATAAAAAGTGAAGGGAAAAAAAAGCAACAACAGATTTGGCAACTAAAAAACATGTAATCATTGTGCATTAAGAGAAGCCACATAAACCCATAAAATCTGAGGGGAAATGTTCTCTTAGAGGGTATTAGAAAAAAAATATATATATACACAAAATATTAATATTTATAACATGCATAAATAAAAATCAATAGGAGAAAGATTAACAATGGAAAAAAATGAACAAAGAGTGAGAATATAGATTTTGAAAAAGACACAAGTATCCACTATACATAAAAATATACCCAACCCCAACAATTAAAACAACATTAAAACTATTAAAATTATAATTTTTCATCTGTTAGGTTGACAAAGATTATTAAGTGAGAGGTAATATCCACTGTTGGGAAAAGTGCAGGAAAAGAGTATCTGAATCATCATTGATGGTAAGAATGCAAATGGGTACAACCTTTCCCTCCAGCTATTCGATGATTGTCAGCAAAACCCTGAAAACAAGCAAATCTTCAATCTCCTAATTTCATGCACAGGAAATGCTAATTGTGTACAAAGAAGTATGTTTAAGGATGTTCATCAAAGCATTTCTTACCATGGCAAAAATTTAGAAGTAGATACGAGTTTATTGGCAGCCACCAAAAATATTAATGTAAAATATTAATACAAGAATTCAGAATATGTGAAGTGATGTTTTT